CCCTTCCCCCACCCCTCTGTCCCCCCCTTTCCTCTCCCCTTCCCCTCTCCCTCACCCCTCTGTCCCTCTCTCTCCTCTTCTTTATTTGTCTGTCCTCTCTATTCGTGCTTTCGTCGTTGTTTCTGTCGGTATCAGGGTCGCTAGCGGCCTATTGCCCAGTGGGTAGCCGACAGGATGGCGTTGTGACCTTTGGTCGGTTGCTTGTATTTTGTATAATAAAATTATAAGTATTTTCCTAAAAAAAAAAAAAAAAAAATCTGTATGTATATTCTATATAAGTATTTTTGTAAAAATTCACATGGATATCTTACGAGAATAAAGTATTTCAGAAAACTGGTCAACACGAGTCATGTCCTGTAGCGTTTGTTTTATTCCAATCAAGTAGCGCTGCAGTCAAGTTGTACAATTGCAACTTTTATCAACAGTGCCATTTCAAAAGGTTGTTGGCAAAAAGACAGGAAGGGATTAGGGGGCAGAGAGAGAGAAGGAAGGGATTAGGGGGCAGAGAGAAGGAAGGGATTAGGGGGCAGAAGGAAGGAAGGGATTAGGGGGCAGAAGGGAGAGAGGATAGAATGAAGGGAGAAGGATAGAATGAAGGGAGAAGGAAGGATAGAATGAAGGGAGGGAAGAGAAGGAAGAGGGTGCAGGACAAGAGATGACAGAATAGAGAAGTTAGGAGGGCAGAGAAGAAATGGAGGAGGGCAGAGTGAAGGAAGGAAGGAGGGCAGAGAAGGAAAGGAGCAAAAACAGAAGAGAAGGAGCAAAAGCAGAAAAAAACAGAAGAGAAGGAGCAAAAGCAGAGAAGGGAGGGAGAAGGAAAGGCAGCGGAGGGAGGGTTGAGAGAATGAGAAGATGGAAGCAGGCAAGGGTAAAAGCGGAAAGCCAAAAAGGAGTAAAGACAAAACACAAAGGGAATAAAAGCAAATCAGCAATGAAGTGTGGAGAAGGAAAAACGAAAGAAGTTTGCATGATGTTAAAAAAGAAGGGAGAACAGAGGTAAGTAAAGTAAAGTAAAGCAAAGCAAAGAAAGCAAAGCAAAGAAAGCAAAGCAAAGAAGAGTGGAGTGAAGCAAAGCAAAGGAGAGTGAAGCAAACCAGAGGAAAGTAAAGTAAAGTAAAGCAAAGCAGAGGAAAACAACGAGAGTCAAGGAAAGCAAAGGAGTGTGAAGGAAAGCAAAGGAGAGTAAAGCAAAGGAGGAGCAAAGCAAATCACAAAAGCTAATAACAGGTCAGGAAATAAGCAATAAAGGCAAGCAAAGGACAAGACAGCAAACAGGAAAGCAAAAAAAAACAAGAAAGCCAACAATCAAAAGCAAGGAACTGGAAAGGAAAGGAAAGCAAAGCAAATTATCAAACGTAAAGTACAGAAAAGGTAGGTAAAGAAGCAAAAGCAGATAACAGGCAAGCAAACAAGGAAAGTTAAAGAACTGGAAAGGGACGAGTCAAAACAAAACAAGAAAGACAAGAATCAAAAGCAAGGAACTAGAAAGCAAAAGGAAAGCAAAGCAAAAGGTAAGAGCAGGAAAGGATCAAACCAAAGAACAGGAAAGCAAAAAAGCAAAAGCAAATGAAAGGAACAGAAAAGCAAAAGCAGAGAAGCAAAACAATGGGGAAGGAATTGAAAGATGAAGCAAATAGAAAGAAGAAGTAAGCAAAGAAAGTAAACTTTAAGGAAAGAAGGGAATGGTTACAGGAAGGGAAAAAAGTTACAGAAGAGGGGAGTCAAAGAGAAAGCAACTGTTACAACAAAGTAAAGAACAGAGAAAAAGTTATTAAGTCAAGGAAGAATAGAGAGATACAGCAAAGGGAAAGAGTAAGACGCCAACAACAACATGAACTATGCTGGTACCAAACTATGTTCAAAGGAAATTTAAAATGGTAGAAAATGTTTTGCTGTGTTAACAAGTGCCGGCAAAGGATTGTATATATAAATTTCAAATTGTAGGCTTCCAACCATTCCTGCAAACATGTTGTACCAGCATAGTCCATTTATCATCTTCTTATCTATTTTTTTCTCTTTTTTTTTTGCTCTCTTTTTTCTGTACATTCATTGCACAATACAATACAATACAATACATGATACAAATTAAAAAATCTAGAGTATCCTACAGTTACAGAAAGTTACAGTTTCAGTCTACACAATTACAGTGTAGAATGGCTACGGACAATTACTTCTTACCATCTTGTGTACAGTTATACAATGATATGTGTCAGAACAATTACATTGTACATGAAACGATTCTACATAAATGTACCTCAACTTTGCACGCAGGCAGTATGTTCGTCAAACACTCATTATTTACAGGTTACTTCGGAAGCGATGAATTATGCAATCATCTTAACGAGATGAGAAACGGTTACAATCATCTTCACAAAATCAAAATGGTTACAATCTTCACGAGATGAGAAACGGTTACAATCATCTTCACGAGATCAGAAACGGTTACAATCATCTTCACGAGATCAGAAACGGTTACAATCATCTTCCCGAGATCAGAAACGGTTACAATCATCTTCACGAGATCAGAAACGGTTACAATCATCTTCACAACATCAGAAACGGTTACAAACATCTTCCCGAGATCAGAAACGGTTACGATCATCTTCACGAGATCAGAAACGGTTACAATCATCTTCACGAGATCAGAAACGGTTACAATCATCTTCACGAGATCAGAAACGGTTACAATCATCTTCACGAGATCAGAAATGGTTACAGTCATCTTCACGAGATCAGAAATGGTTACAATCATCTTTACGAGATCAGAAACGGTTACAATCATCCGACATTGCAAGAAAATTTCACAGAAATACACAATTCTGACAATCAACATTACGTGGCACTTTCTTCTTTCAGCTCAATATGCAATACATTGCTCAAAATATTTAGAGGCAATCTCTAAAAGGGGTCTACAGTTAAAGTTCTTTGTCCAACTTAGTCGGTGATGACCCTCCCTGAATTCCATAGTTGTTGTGAGTCCCGGTGTGCCCTACGAGTCCAGTTCTTGCTGCTTCTGAAGTAATGGCCACAGCTTAGGTTGTAGCTGTACAGGGACAAAGAATTATAATTACTGATTAACTCTCGGCTACAGGAACGTACAAACACTAACAATTATATCTGCTACAAATTGTACATTAGAGAAGGTTCAGTTCAGAGGATTTTCTAATACCAAGGAGGTTAAATACAAGCCAATAGAATACCTGAGAAGAAACGGTTTATTTTAGTCCAAAAAGGAACTTGACACACTTCACTGTTTGTTTCAATTTCATTCCAAAATCATCAAAAATTGCCCACAACACTTCTTACAACTGATGGCCAAAAAACTATTTCCAGAACATTTCACTGTAAATTTCAAACTGCCAAAAAGCCTTTCTTTTAACTCATTTAAAATGAAGCTTAGCCTAGCATTTTAAAAATTCAATCTGTTTCATGCAGAATGTATGTAAGAGAAGGAATTAGAGTGCGAATAGAGAGCGAATAGAGTGCAATTTAAGTGGAACTAACTGTAAGCGCAGGTACAGACTGTGAATTCTGCATGAAACAACTCGACATAATAATCGGTATCAGTGTAGCCGGTATAACCCGTGCTTCGGTGTAACACACCAGCTTCGCAGGCACGCGGCACAGCTGGCTATTTCACACCAGAGTTGTTTAAAAGTTTTAAGTGATGCCCTAACTGTACTTTTAATTATACCAGCTTTTGAATGCCTCAATCCTTGGTTGATATCAAAGATATTTGAAGACATGACAGTCACTTAGTT